GGTACATGCCTATAATCCCAGGATTTGGGAGGCAGAGGCAGGTGGATCTCTGTGAGTTCAAGCCCACCCTGGTCTACTGAGCAAGTTCCAGTACAGACCAGGTTACACTACCTAGAGAAAACCTATCTCAGGGAAAAACAAAACCAAAAAAAAAAGCGGAACTGACCTAACTGTGGCTCATGGTGATAAGTTAGTACATATTTTCAGTTCATTTCCTTCTTTGTTTTGATTTGTTTGTCACAGTCCTCTGTACCCCAAGCTGGCCGTGAACTCAATATTAAGGGAAGGATAACTTTTAAGGCTTGGTCTTCCTGACTCTACTTCCCTAGTCCTGTTAGAATTACAGGTCACCACAGGTCACATGCACACCTGGCTCCTTTTTTGAGATCTTGCTTAGCAACCTACAATGCCTGCAGTCCTTAATCCTCCTGCCTGAGCTACCTTCCAGGCCCCACCCTCTGGCTGAGATTATGTACATGCACCACACCTGGCAAAAACTGGTTAGAATTTTTGGATGGAACAATAATAATTAAAATGCCCTTGGCCTCTCATTCCTGCAGCTGGTCTGCCTCCTGCCTGCTTCTCTTGATGTTAGAATCTGGCCCCCTTTCAGTTCTCTTCCTTTGTCACATCGGTGCAGGCACTGTGCCAAAGGCATGCCTCTTCTTGCCATGTACCTCAGGGTTCAGTGGATTGAGGAGAGAAGCAGAAGGGGAAAGCCTGTGTCCTGGTGTCGTTTTAAGCTGTCTCTTGGTGGTACCCTTCATGCTGTGGCCAACCTGGAGAAGGAAAAGACTTCGAAAATAATGAGTCCTCCCTGGGACAGACTTCAGACCAAAGCTTTTTTTTTGGACAGGGCCTCCGAAGGGCCTCTGCCAGCTGGAGGGTGGCAAACATGGCTCTGGCAGCCTTCTCCCCCATTCCCTCTGCCTTGCTAAAAATCATTAGATCACCTCCCTAAAGCTAGCCACTAAGGTCTAGTCCCTTATTTGGCCACTTCCTCCCCCCCCCCCAAGACTATCAAGGTCCAGCTATCAACATACTGAAGTCCAGCAATCAAAAGCCCCTGTTGGCTCACCTAATTAACATGCCTAATTAAAATTAAACACATCATCCTAACATGGGGTTTCCCCAGGTACCTTTATAAGCTGCCATTTACCTATGCGCCATGTCTGTCTCCCCTCTGTCCAGAGGTAGTCAGGGACAAATGTCCTGCCCCCTCCCTTGTTCCCTTCCCTTCCCCACTGTCCCCTGTCTCCTTTTGTCTCTTATCCCTGCCCTCTGTCCCTCTGGGGCAAATAAATCTCCTTTGTGCTGAGAACTTGGTCTTGAGGGTCCTGAGCAGGTATTTTTCCTTTCAGCCTCATGTTGCCCAAACTGGCTTCAAGCTTGATATGTGCTAAGGTGGGTCTTGAATTCTTCCTGTTCCTCCTGGTCCCAGGCGCTTGCCTTATAGGCCTGTGCCAAAGACCCTGTCTTCCAGCCCGGTGATCGCGTGCATGTCTGCCTCAGACTAAAGCCATTTTCTCCACTTGATTGTTATTCTTGGTTTTGTTCACTTTGTTTCTGAAATAGGCTCTAACTCTAACTCTTTGGCCCAAGCTGGCCTGTAACATACAGGTACATAAACGCATAAATGAAAAAAAAATTAATAAGAGAAGCTCTTTTTTTCGGGGGGGGGGGGGGGGGGGGGGGCCGCGGGCGGGGAGCTGAGGACTGAACCCAAGGCCTTGTGCTTGCTAGGCAAGCACTCTACCCCCCCCCCACACTCCTTTTTTTTAAAATGAGCGTTGGTGTTTTGCCTGCATGTCTTAGCTTTCTTCCCTCCACTCATTCATCTATGTAGGAATCCAATCCTCGGTTGTGGAACTTGTTTGGGTGCAATTTTTTTTTAACCTTTTTTTTTTTTTAATTTTTTAATTTGTTTGTTGTTTTAGTAATGGTTTGTATTGGTTACTATTTCTGTTGCTGTGAAACAGCATGACCAAAGACAACTTGAGAAAAGGTTTATTTTGGCTTATGGACTCAGAGGGATACGAGGAGTCTATGATGGCAGCAAGGCAGGCTGGGAGCTTGTATCCTTCCCTGAAATCAAAAGCAGAGAGAAAGCAAACGATAAATAAGGTAAGGCTATAAACTCTCAAAGCCCCACCCCACCCCCACATGGTAATGTACTTTCTCAAACAAAGCCACACCTCCTAAGCCTCCCCAAACAGCGCCACCAACTGAGGACCAAGAGTTCAAACACATTAAGCAATGGGGTACATTTCTCTTTTAAACTACCACATGGGGGCTGGAGAGATGGGTCAGCAGTTAGGAGCACTGAGGACCCAGATTCAATTTTCAGCACCTACAAGGTGGTTCACAACTCTCTATACCTCCAGTCCTAGGGGATCTAACACCCTCTTTTGACCTCTGTGGGTACTGCTTGTGAGTGATGCATAGAAGAAATATATGCAGGCAAAACAGCCATACACATAAAATAAATAATAAACAGAAAATAAAAACACCACATAGTTTTTGTTTGTTTTGTTTTAAAGTTTTATTTTATTTAATTAATTTATTTTTTTTAATGTGCATTGGTGTTTTGCCTGCATGTCTGTGAGGGAGCCAGATCCCCTGGAATTGGAGTTACAGAGAGTTGTGAGCCACCATGTAGTTGCCGGGAACTGAACTCAGGAGCTCTGGAAGATCAGCCAGTGCTCTTAACCTCTGAGCCATCTCTCCAGCCCTCCCCCCCCACCCTCCCCCACCCCCCCACCCCCCCCACCCTCCCCCACCCCACCCCCCCCCCACCCCCCACCCCCCCCCCCCCCCCCCCCCCCCCCCCCGCCCCACATAGTTTTTTTTTTAATTTAGTGAGGAGAGTGAATACTTCAAACTGTGCCATTAATGGGAAAGAAAGATCCTTTCCAAAAGAGTGCTTGTTTGTTTGTTTTACAGAGTTATGTCATACCATCTGTGGTGATAGGGATAAGAAATGGCCCCTAGCCGGGCGGTGGTGGCACATGCCTTTAATCCCAGCACTCGGGAGGCAGAGCCAGGCAGATCTCTGTGAGTTCGAGGCCAGCCTGGGCTACCAAGTGAGTTCCAGGAAAAGCTACACAGAGAAACCCTGTCTCAAAAAACCAAAAAAAAAGAAAAAGAAAAAGAAAGAAAGAAATGGCCCCTATGGGTTCAAGTATTTGAACATTGGTTCCCAGTTGGTGGGACTGTGTGGGAAGATTGCGGAACCTTTAGAAGGTACAGTTTTTTTTTTTTTTTTTTTTTTTTTGGGTTTTCGAGACAGGGTTTCTCTGTGTAGCTTTGCGCCTTTCCTGGGACTCACTTGGTAGCCCAGGCTGGCCTCGAACTCACAGAGATCCGCCTGGCTCTGCCTCCCGAGTGCTGGGATTAAAGGCGTGCGCCACCACCGCCCGGCTAGAAGGTACAGTTTTATACAGCAACAGAAAATAACTAATCCTGCATCCTTTAGAAATCTCTGCTGCAAAGTTAGAATGGAGTTTCAAATAATGGCTCTTAATTAATTTGTAACCTTGATCATTATGGACATAGGACACAATGTAAAATGTCTTGTACTTGCTTTATGATGCATAGTGGTGACTGTGGTATGGTTTATCAGAGATGTTTATAATGATGTTATTATAGAATGTTTGCTTTCTAGATGATAAATGTAATTGTAAAAGTGATGCTAGGGGGTTGGGGATTTAGCTCAGTGGTAGAGTGCTTGCCTAGCAAGCGCAAGGCCCTGGGTTCGGTCCTCAGCTCTTCAGCTCCGGAAGAAAAAACAAAAAGTGATGCTAGATATGAAGCCTGGGCTATGTGAAACCTTGTCTGAATAGAACCAAATAAAACATGCACTTTTTTTTTCAAACCAAGACAGGGTTTCTCTGTGTAGCTCTGGCTGTCTTGAAACTCACTCTCTAAACCAGCCTCGTCTTTAACTCACAGAGATCTGTTGGAATAATCTTTTTGTACAATGTGTGAATATGTGTCTCTGACTTTCCTCACCTGCCTAAGGAACCTTCTGATTGGTTTAATAAAGAGCTGAATGCCCAATAGCAAGGCAGAAGAGAATAGGCAAGACTTCCAGGGAAAGATAGGAATTCTGGGAGAGAATCTAAAGCACGGAAGCTTTGCTAGCCAGACTCTGAGGATGTCAGGCATATGGTAATGAGGAGAGGTAATGAACGAGCCATGTAGCAAAACATAGATGAATATAAAAAGGTTAATTTGAGTGGAGAGATGGCTCAGAGGTTAAGAGCAATGGCTGTTCTTCCAGAGGTCCTGAGTTCAATTCCCAGCAACCACATGGTGGCTCACAACCATCTGTAATGAGATCTGGTGCCCTCTTCTGGTGTGCAGGCATACATGCAGACAGAACACTGTATATATAATAAATAAAGTTTTTTTTAAAAAGGTAATCTAAGTTTTAAGAACTAGTTAGGAACAAGCTTAAGCTAAGGCCAAGCTTTCATAATTAATAAAAAGTCTCAGTTATTTGAACTCCTGGACTTCCTGATTCTGTCTCTTTAGTGCTCGCTAAGATTATAGAAGGCACCACTACGTCTGATTTAGAAGACTTATTTTAATTTTATTTATGTGTACGTGGGTGTGTGCATGTCACCTTTGTGGGAGTGCCTGCTGAGGCCACATGAGGGCTTGAGTCCCCTGGAGCTGGTGTTACAGGTGGTTATGAGCAGAGCCATTTCTCCAACCCCACCTACACCTACATTTTTATTTTATTTATTTGTTTTGTTTTGTTTGAGACAGGGTCTCTCTCTCTTTTTATTTTAAAGATTTATTTATTATTTATACAGTGTTCTGCCTGCGTGTATCCCTTCAGGCCAGAAGATGGCACCAGATCTCATTACAGATGGTTGTGAGCCACCATGTGGTTGCTGGGAATTGAACTCAGGTCCTCTGGAAGAGCAGTGAGTGCTCTTAACCACTGAGCCATCTCTCCAGCTCCATACAGGGTTTCTCTGTGTAGCCCTGGCTGTCCTAGAACTCCCTCTGTAGATCAGGTTGACCTGGAACTCCCGGAGATGGGCCTGGTCTCTGCCTCCCAAGTGTGACTGACTAGAGGCAAGCGCCATCATGCCCACCTCTACATTTTTATTTTAAAGCTCACCAAGTCATAACAATATGGAGCCAGAGAGGCATCTAATTGTTTTATTTTTCATATTTCGTTCTTTAAGATTTATCTAGGGGCTGAAGAGATGGCTCAGCATTTCGGGGAACTGCTCATTCTTAGGGACAGGGTTTGATTCCCAGCAAACACATGACTGCTCACAATTGTCTGTAACTCTGGTTCCGGGGAATCTGAAACTTTCTTCTGGCCTCCATGGGCACTAGCCATTGCAAGCAGGCAAAACACCCACACATAAAATAAAAATAAGGATTTATTCATATAGCTGCAGATATATAATTTTGAAATGTAGTCCCTTAGAGGTAGAGAACTAGTTCCCTAACACCATAGAGTTGTCAAGAGTATCCTCGTTTTTTCTTGTTTGTCCTATTTATTTAGTGATCAGAGGATTTAATTCAGAGGCATGAAGGAAGGGAGGAACCGAAGAGATAAAGATCTGACGTTCCTGGCAGGGCCAATCTCCCTGGCCTCCTCTTTGCTAAAAATAGTAGTTAATTTTGTTTGTTTGTTTGTTTTTGAGACAGGGTCTCATTATGTTGCTTCAGCTGTCCTAGAACTCACTGTCTAGACCAGGTTGACTTGGAACTCACAGAGATCTTCCCCACCCCATCTGCTGTGGCTGCAGGAATATATCATAAGAACTCACTACCTGGAGGGATCAAGGATTTCCTCCAGAGGAAGACAAATTCCACGGAGCTTTTGGTGTTATTGGCTTGTTATATATCAGTTGTATTCTGTTATGAAAATCATGTGTGCCTTCATAGTTTTCCCAATTGACTTTTCCCTAGGAAAGGCTAACAGTGTGGACTGATCACTCTCTGGACATACACATTTCAGGTATTTGGAAAACAGCCTCAGGAAAGGCTTCCTCTGGAATCAGATATCTCCCTTAGCCACTTTCAAGGACTAGCAGTAATAACAGTCCACATGCAAGTCTCCTGATTTAAGGTAAATTCCACAAGGAGACACCGCCTAGGTCAGGTGGAAGTTAAGTAATAGCTTTACACAATTTAGCTCGGACCCTGCTTTATTACAACCTTAATAACTTTATAGACCTCTAACTCCTTACCTAACCACCTCTAGGAATATTTAGATAACCTTTTGCACTGACAGCTATGCTCAGCCAGAACCCCAGCTCAAGCCTCCCTGTAATTATCATCATTGGCAGCATCTGTTCAGGTCCATCCCCAGATGGAGAAAAGTACCTTATCAGAGATACCACTGTACTCTCTAAGAACAGACTTAAGCATCCAGGCTACCTGTTTGAGAAGGCCTGGCAGATGTGCCAATTAAGCTTAACTTCCTCCTTTCCCAAATCTTACCTCCGGTTCCAGATCTCCCTTTAACTATCACCAGAGGCATCTACCTGTACACAGGTTGCCTAGCAACCGAGCACACTTTCCCCCACCCTGCAGAAAAACCGCAGATTGCTTGGACAGATAGGAGCCATAGGAAAAAAGAAGGCAGTTTTATTTTCTCCCATTGACCTAGCAACTTATAGATTCTTAACATTTTCTACCAATCACGTTTAAGACTATAGGTGAGCACATAAGATCCCTCTTCTTAGATATTACCCGAATTTAGCCTTTAGTTAATTCATTTCCCCATTGGTCACTTCCTTTGGGGTTGCAAATGATAATTAACGGTTATTGCCTCCCTATGTGATTCTTATCACCCTTCCCTTTGACCCTGGAAGCCTGGCTTTGCACTGCTAAGGGAATACTGCTTGTAAGTGTATATATACCAGGACTCCCAGGGCACTGGAGGAGGGAGAAGAGGAAAGAGAATGGAAGAACTAGATGGGTAAGAACTTGAGAGGAACAAACTGAGATGGGGAAGAACTAGATTGAAGGGCTAAAAGAGAGGACTAGAGGAACGAGATGGAAGATGAGGAAGAGCCAGATGGGGAAGAACAAGATGAGAGAGAAAGGAGATGAGAGAGGAGCTGAGATGGAAAAGAACTAGATGGATGAGAACCTAGAAGGGGCAGAACTAAGATGAAGGAATTTAGATAGAACCTAGAGGGGACAGCAGATAAATGTAAAGAGAAATTGGGCAAGAAAGGAGCTAAAAATGAGAGCAGAGTATAAGCTGGTAGAGAGAGAACTGACAGAATAATAAAGTGTATGGACTAAGGAGTTTTGTGTACATAGATTCATTTCCTTTCTTCAAAAATTAATTATCAGCCGGTTGTAGATTCTTCCCGGACCCTGGGAGGGGACTATCGAGGGGCTGGACCCCCATAGTCCCCGATGCCCATCCCCAATACTGGAATTAACAGTGTGTGCCACTGCCCAGCTATATTAATTTATTTTTAAGACAAGGCCTCATGTATCTCAGGTTGGCCTCAAACTTACTATGTATCCTAGGATGATTTTGAACTCCCAGCCTTCCTCGATTCTACTTCCCTCTTCCCTGAATTTTAAGTGTAGGCTGCCACACCCAATTTGATTAATGTTTTCTTATGGTAATATATTTCTTTTAAAGCCAAGTTGAGGCCTAATAAAGATAGCTTAATGTGATCTTTAAACTTGATAGTTAAAAGAGAGAGGAGGCACTCCAAAGGAAAGACACCCCCAAGGGCATGAGTATGGGGTTGTCTGTGAGAAATGTATTTTTTGTTTGTCTTACTGTTATATACATTTTTCAGACAAGTTCCCACCATGTAGCTCTTAGTGGTTTGGAATTTACTATGTAGGCAAGGCTGGCCTTGAATTCAGAGATCCACCTGCCTTTATCTCTTGAGTGCTGGAATTAATGGCATGTACCGCCACACTCCACTCACTTAGATTTTTTTTAGAACGGAGTCTCTTGTAGCCTCAAACTGTACTTTTTTGTTGTTGTTGTTTTGTTTTTTGAGACAGGGTTTCCCTGTGAAGTTTTGGTGCCTGTTCTGGATCTCACTCTGTAGACCAGGTTGGCCTCAAACTCACTGAGATCTGCCTGGCTCTGCCTCCAGAGTGCAGGGATTAAAGGCGTGCACCACCACTGCCCGGCTCCAACTGTACTTGTACTCAGGATGGCTTTGAACTCCTGATCCTCCTGACTCTCTGAGTGCAGAGGATTACAAGCAAGTGCCATCCCACTGGGTTTTATTAGCCCTAGGGTTGGAACCCAGAGCTCCCTGAAGTGCTATAGGTAATCATTCTACCAGTCCCAATGTCTTACAGCTCTGGAAAGAAACCCGGGGAGATGCTTGATAAATGCCTGTGGATATGTGGGAAGAATCCAGACCAGACTGGCCTCCAATTAGTCTTGTCCTTGTCCCTGTTGGTAATGCAGCAGGGAGTGTTTGTCTTTGTTCTCTGAAGTTATCTGCTTTATTCCTTCCTGTCTGTGCCTCCTTCTCTCTCCACAGGACCTCTCTATACGTAGCCCTGGCTGTCCTGGAACTAGCTATGTAGACAAACCTGGACTCAACTCTAGGACATTCAACTTCTTCCTCAAATCTCTGTGCGGTGCTTCTGCACTCTGGTAAGTTTTTAAGACTGAGCTGGGTGAGGACATGTGTGTGGTTGTGCCGGGAAGTGAACCCAGTGCCTTCTGCATGCTAGGCAAGCGCTGCTCTCTACCATGAGCTGCAGCCGCTGATCATCACTGGAGGAAGTGCCCTCAGCTCAGCTTTTTTTTTTTTTTTTTTTTTTTTCTGAGACAGGGTATCTCTGTGTAGTTTTGGTGCCTGTCCTAGATCTCGCTCTATAGACCAGGCTGGCCTTGAACTCACAGAGATCCACCTGGCTCTGCCTCCCGAGTGCTGAGACTAAAGGCGTGCGCCCCCACTGCCGCCCGGTTGAAATGACCTCATCTTACGGACAAAGAGTCCGGGCGAGTAAAGTAACTCTGGTTATCTGACTCCCAAGGTAGTGTGTGCTTACTCATTATTCAAACTGCCTACCTGTCCTCATCCAAGTATAGTTGTTTACCAGGCTGTCTTGCACTAGTTTACACACTTTTCCTCCCACACTTCTAGGGTACTCCACACAATAAGGGCCTCAAGAAATGTCTTTTGAAGAAGGAAAAGCAGGTGGGGTAGGAAATAGATGGAAACTTCGGATTCTGGCCTAGGGAACAAGATACCTTGGACCTGTGTCAAGTGCGTCTCTCGGCCAAGACTGTGAGAAGGGCTAGAACCATTACCACAGGCTTTTCCCCACCCCACCCTTTGCCTCAGTACTCACAACTCTGCTCTTGCCCGTTACGGAAAAGTGGCGATGTGCTGGAGGAGGGTGGGGGTTCCAAGTGCTACAGGTGGGGCTTCTGGGCAGCTCGCTGCTGCCACCTGCTGGTGCGGAACAACATGGCGGGTGCTTTTCTCGCCCGGGCTCTAGATGGGAAGATCGCTTCTGGAAACAGCTCCTCGCACACTGCCCTGTTCCTCAGGACGTCCTTTTTATGGAATCCCTTATCATTCTCACTCACAGAGTACTTTGACATTCCTGACGTTCCAACACACTGAGCTTATCTGGATCAAGTGATGTTTTTGTTTTGTTTTTTAAACATTTATTTGTGTATTGTGTGTGTATACATGCTTTTGCCACCGTGTCTGATGACCTGAGTTAGATCTTAGGACGAAGGAGAGAACAGGATTTGAACCCTGAGTTGCACGTGTGCATCTTGGTATAAACACACATACACTAAATAAATTGATATATTATAAATTGATAATATATATATATATATATATATATATATATATATATATATATATATATATATATATATATAGTTTTTTCTAAAACGAAGCATCAAAGTTGTCAAACTGGGTGGTGGTGGCGCATGCCTTCAATCCCAGTGCTTGGGCGGCAGAGGCAGGTGGATGACTGTGAGTTCGAGGCCAGTCAGGTCTACAGAGTGAGTTCCAGGACAGCCAAGGCTACACAGAGAAACCTTGTCTGGAAAAAAAGAAAGAAAGAAAAGAAACATCAAGTAATTTCTCTAAGAGTTTCTGTGGTTTTATTATTCCTGCCTTGCTATTATTCTTCAAGCTTTAGCACTGGTGGGTACCACTGGGAACTATACTATGGAGGGTACAACAATATAGACTGCCCCCCACCAGGAACACAGAATATTCGTGGGCCGGGCGGTGGTGGCACACGACTTTAATCCCAGCACTTATAAGGCAGAGCCAGGCGGATCTCTGTGAGTTCAAGGCCAGCCTGGGCTACAGAGTGAGTTCCAGGAAAGGCGCAAAGCTACACAGAGAAATCCTGTCTCAAAAAAAAAAAAAAAAAAAAAAAAAAACAAATAACAAAAAAAAGAGTATTTGTAATATAAGCCTACAGTATCATATGAATTGGTCTTGCCGCCTAGGATTCTACAGTTAAATAACCAAAAGTAATGACCTATCTGCTCCTCACACTTTCTGGTTTTTAAAGAGTGTCACTCTGTAGTCTAGCTTTGCCGTGAACTTGTGGCAATTTTTCTGCCTTAGTCTCACAAGTGCTGGGATTGCAGATATGTGCCACCCAGCCCTACTTCTTGTTTTTAGTTTGGGTTTTATTTTGGTTTTGACACAGGTTCTCACAATGTAGCCTTCACTGGCCTGGAACTCCCTATGCACTCAAACTCATAGAGGTCAGCCTACCTTTGCCTCCAAAGTGTTGGGATTAAAGGCATGTACCCCCAAGCCTGGCTTCTTGTTTTTGAGTTTGAGATAGGATTATTTCATTGTGTATCTCAGACTGGCCTCAACTCAAGATCCTCTTTGCCTCATGAGTATTGGAATTACAGGCATATGCCACAATGCACTGATGTTTTTGGTTTTTTTTTTTGTATCTTACCTGAAAGGAAGAGTTGGCTACCTTGTCATAGTTTTGCTGAGTCTGTCATACCTGTGTCTGTGAGCTTACCTTGAACACCCATGGTCTCCTTCCTTTCTTCTTCTATTTTATATTTGTTTATTTATTTAATTTTGTTTTTTTAAAATAATTGATTTATTTTTATAGTATGTGCATTGGTGTTTTGCCTGCATGTATGTCTGTGTAAGGGTGTGAGGTCCCCTGGAACTGGAGTTACAGACAGTTGTGAGCTGCCATGTGGGTACTGGGAATTGAGCCCAGGTCCTCTGGAAGCGCAGTCAGTGTTCCTAACTGCTAAGCCATCTCTCCAGCCCCCTTTTGGTTTTTCAAGACAAGGTTTCTCTGTGTGGTCCTGTCTGTCCTCAGACTCAGAGAACTCAGAGATCGCCTGCTTCTGCCTCGCGAGCACTGGGATTAAAGGTGTGAGCAGCCACACTCAGCTTTGACTTTCTTTTTTAGGCCTGCCTTGAACTCAATATAGCCTTGGATGAGGCTGGATTCCTGATCCTGCAGCCTCCATCTCCTGAGTGCTGAGATTATAGGCCTGTGACACCAGGATGTCTCCATAACATTTTTTTCTTTGCAAATCAGAATGTATCCCCAGCTCCAAGAAAATGACTTCAACTCTAAGAAAGATCTCAAAGCTACAATCTCTATTATTTGTTCAATTCTGTTTCTTTAAAGGCTTTTATGAAGAATAGCCACCTTGAATTTAATTAAATATCTTTGCAATATCTATTGGATATTCTTGTTCAACATATTAATGAACCCAACATAAACCAAAACAAAATTGTGTAATGAGTATTTTGGGCAGCTCAATTAGTTTCAGTTTTTCTTTCCCCCATCCTTCCATAGTGACATATTCTGGAACCTTCCAGTTTCACATACTTCCTGTGAACCAATGAGATGTTCAAAGAAGCAGAAGACTATGTGTTGTGGAATATTCCTTTAACTAGATAAAGATGTGTTACATTTGTTTATGCTGTGGCAGACTATTACTTTAACTGTGGAAAGGTGTGTTACTCTTGTTTATACTGTATTTGTTTAACGATGTAAGGATGTGTGTTTAATTATGTAAAGATGTGTCACATCTGCCTGAGGCACCTGATTGGTCTAATAAAAAGCTGAATGGCCAATAGGTAAGCAGGAGAGGGATAGGTGGGGCTGCCAGGCAGAGAGAATAAGTAGGAGGCAAAGCTGGGCTCAAAAAAGAGGGGAGGAACAAGAGAAGGGGAAGTAAGGAGAGACACCCAGGGCAAGAAGCCAGGCAGCTGCCAGCCAGTAGACACTAGAAGCTGTGAAAGTAAGAAGGAAAGAAAAAAACAAAAAGCTCTGAGGCAAAAGGCAGATAAAGAGAAACAGGTTAATTTAAGCTAAAAGAGCGAGCCGGAAACAAGCCTAAGCTAAGGCCAAGCATTCATTCAAAACTGATAAGTCTCTGTGTAATAATTTGGGTTGATGGACCAAAAGAAAAAGCCTGGGACACCTATGTATCTCCAGCCTCAGCTTTTCTGAATCTGTCCAACTGTTGGAGCCCACTAGGTTCCTAGTGGCTGTTTCCAGCAGGACTGCATAGGAGGTTGATGGGACCACGGGCCTGGGTACCAGGTGTTTGTAAGGGTCTACACTTGATTGTAACTAGCAAGGGGGAGGGCTTCTGTTCCACCCCTTGGCATTGTTATAAATAGACCTTTAGAATAAAGTTCTGGGCCGGTGGATAAGGCTCCAGGCCCACCCGAGACTATCTTGTATTTTCTCTTTGTTTCTCTCCCTCTACTTCTTTTTTTTTTTTTAATTTTTTTTTTATCTCCCTCTACTTCTAACTAAGTCTCTTATCCCTCATTCCTCAAGAGTCCCTAGGGTAAATAAATGTGGGGGCTGGTCCCCCACATCCAGCTGTAGCCAACCTGCACTCTCTCTGTAAGAGACAAACAGATGAAAGGCATGGTGGAATACCTTTGTAATCCCAGCACCTGATGGAGGCTGGAGGATCAGAAGTTCATTGTCATTCTTAGCCATATAGTCATATATACAGGAGGCTCTGTATCAAAACAAAACAGTCCCCCCGTCAAAACAACCACCACAAAAAAAAAAAAAGTCATGTGGTGGTCTATGCCTTTAATCCCAGAACTTGGGAGGCAGAGGCATATGAATTTCTGAGTTTGAAACCAGCCTGGCCTACATAGTGAGTCCTAGGACAGCCAGAGCTAAATAATAGAGACCCTTTCCCAAACAAACAACAAAACAGCTGGATATCACATTGTGGTTCATGCCTTTTCTCTTTTTATAATTTATATTTATTTATTTTATTTTTTATTTTATTTTTGAGACAGGGTTTCTCTGTGTAGCCCTGGCTGTCCTGGAACTCGTTCTGTAGACCAGGCTGTAGACTTTGAACTCATGGAGATCTGCCAGCCTCTACCTCCCCAGTGGGATTAAAGGTGTGCACCACCACTGTCAGGCAATTTATTTTTATTTTATGTGCATTGGTGTTTTACCTGCGTGTATGTCTGTGTGAGGTTGTTAGATCTGGAACTGGAGTTACAGACAGCTATAAGCTGCCACGTGGGTGCTGGGAATTGACCCCTGCCTGGTCTTCTGGAAGAACAGCCAGTACTCTTAACCAGTGAGCCCTCTCTCCAGCCCCAGGTGACTCATGCCTTTAATATCAGCACTCAGGAGGTAGAGGCAGGCTGATCTCTGAGAGGGTAAGACCAGCCAGGGCTACACAGTGAAATCTTATAAATAAGTATCAGAGGAGCAGCAGGGAGAAAGGAGGAGTGGTCTGTCACCAGGGAGGTTTCTTGATTTCCTGTCTGTCCTTGAGAGTCAGGCTAGTGTTCTCCTCCAGACCCTAGAATGGCTGCAGCTGCTCATTTTTGTTCTCTCTTTGACTCTGGCTGTCCTAAATAAACCTGGTGAATACCTTGCATTTCTGTAAGAATGGAAACAACTAGAATGTGCTCCGAGAGAAGCACCCAAGCAGGAACGTGTAAGCATCTTCCCAGGAGACAAGGATCAGACCTAGTAGCCGTCCAGAAGAGGAATAGGGTACTAGATACTGTGCAGTAGGCACGTTAGATTGTCCAAATCTGTCCCCTTTGTGATCTAATAACTTCCTGCAGCACTGTCCCAGTATTTTTGGATCCCTAAGGTCTCCTTTTGAGGCAAGGAGGGCCCAACGAGTGGTTAGAAGGGTGTGGGGTAGGGTGGAGATAGTGTGTGGTGATATCTATGGGTGTGTTGGCTCTCCAAGACTCAGCCCTGTGGTTCCTGTGTCGCCATGAATGCCCATGGGTGTATGACTGTGGCATGTGGTGTGTGTGTGTGTGTGTGTGTGTGTGTGTGTGTGTGTGTGTGTGTGTGTCAGGGCAGGGGCTCCCTGTGGTGTGCAAATGTGTTGGGAGGGGGTGATGGTGAGAGCCTGGCTCCTTTACCTCCACCCCCATCCCTGCTCCCATCTGGCCTTGATCAGCGGGTCCCTGGGGAGGGAGCCGCGGTTTCGGATACAGGAAAATGTTCCAGGAAGCGGCCACTGTGCTGAACCCTGCTCGGGCTCCCCCAGCGGAAATTGTTCCAAGAGGGAGGAGGGTTGGGAGTGTTGAGATAGGATTAAGGATGGAGGAGGGTGGCTCTTGGCTCCCCTCGATAGGATAAAACTGGGTAAGTTGATGAGAGGCTCGGGTCAGCCAGGATGCTGGATGCTACTACCTCAATCATTTAATGCAGAACTGGGGACGAGGAAAAAAGGGTCCCCTTCCCTATTTATTCTCTCGAGATCCTTTTTATAGCTCTATTATCATGAACACATACTGGGGACCCGGATACCAGGGTCTTGCCTGAAAATGACTTGGCTTGGAGAGGGGCAAGAGTCAGCCCCTCTCCTCACCACACTGAAAGGGGCTTTGAAGCCGGCGTCCAGGACTGGGAGGGATGCCTAATTGGGATAATGGAGGTTAATGGGGCGCCTGGAGGGGGTGGCCACGCTCCTAGATCAAAGAGGCCAGCTCTCCCAGACCAACACAGCTGGAGGTCACAGCTGGAGGGGGAGGGGCAGGGGCTTGGAGCCAGCCAGCAGGGGGTGCTCTGGCCTCGGAATGCTCGGCCTCTGTGTCTGGGGCTCCTTGGATCGACTTCTGCCGAGAGCGCTTCCGAGGAAAGTAGGTTCCGAGTCCTCTTTCGTGGGTGCTGGGGGAGAAGGAGAGGCAGGCCGTCAGCCTCGGGGCTGCAGGATGTCAGCACCGTCAGGTTGTTGTTGCAGGGTCCCAAAGCGGTAGCTTTTGATCCAGTCTGGATCAAGGCTGGAAGGCTGGACTCCTCCTGGGTTTATAACGGAGGCTGAGAAATACCCGGCTGGGCATCTGGAGATGCTGGCCAGGGCAGAGGGAGAGGGGCACCGGCACTCCCCCACCGCCGCCCCCCTCCCCGGGTTGGCGCTCCCTCTCGAGCTCTAATCGGCGCGGCGGCCGCAGCGGGCAGAGTCAGCGCCGCCAGTCTCCGGGACGCGACTCCCAGCAATTGTGGTCGGGACCGCAGATATGCAGCTGCCTCCTGCCCGGGCGCCTGGCCCGGCCTGCCCCGCCCGCGCCCCGCCCCCAGGCGTCCCGCCCCTCGCCAGCCCGCGGAACCGGGGCACTGATGCCCCAACCCCGATTTCACCGCGCGGTCCCCTGCCTGCATCTGTTTCTCCAACAGCCTTAGCGGGAGGCCGAGACTCACTCTGACACTCTCATTGCACGTACACCTTGCTTCGAGCCTCCACATGGAAAAAGTCGAATAGTGCTTTGAAGTCCAGAGGTTGGGGGGGGGGCGGGAGGAGGAAAGAGGGGGATCATTGATTGGTGTGTAAAATGAATGAAAAGTTTTTCTTAATTAAAAAAAAAAAGGATCCAGAGGGATAACGTGCTCAGGCTGGTGGAGGTGGGAGTGGTGGGACTCATTAACAGTAGCAGCGGGAAAGTTTCTAGGCAGAGGAGAAAAGGGGGGGACAGGAGAAGCAGGGACGGGCGTCAAAGGGTAGGGAAATGGCTCTTCAGAGGGGCTCCCAGCAGAGTTCAGGGGATTCCTGCTGCAATGCTGAGGGAAGCCCCTCAGAGACGGCGCTGCCCCCTCCCGCCCCCCACACTCTGCGGACCACAGCTGCCGGCTGTCCAGGGCTATTCTCAGAACTGAACTTTAAAACCTGCAGACCTGCTCCTTCCTCCTGACCAACCGGGCTGGTTCTTCTTTCCACATCACCTCCCCGTACACTTGGACGCAACGGTTCTGTTTCCTTAGAGCACATCTCACCTCCGGCTTGGTCTGATGACACGTCTCCATTTCCTCATCTCCAGTTTGCCCTCCATCAGCCTATGACAACACTAACGGGTATCATTCATGAAGCAAATTCTAAGTGGCCGACACTGTTTATAGTTACACTAGCTAGAGGTGTAGCCCAGTGGGACTTAAAGGTGTAGTTCCGTAGTAGAGTGCTTGCCTAGTTTCTGCAGGACCCTGGGATTGAGCACCTGGTGGGTGGTTCACACATTTCTAATTTATGTGGATTTTTAAAAGTTATTTTTGCCGGGCGGTGGTGGCGCACGCCTTTAATCCCAGCACTTGGGAGGCAGAGCCAGGCGGATCTCTGTGAGTTCGAGGCCAGCCTGGACTACCAAGTGAGTTCCAGGAAAGGCGCAAAGCTACACAGAGAAACCCTGTCTCGAAAAAAAAAAAAAAAAAAAAAAAAAGTTATTTTTATGGGGGGGTGCATTGTGCCACAGTGCATGTGTGGAGGTCAGATGATAACTTTCAGGAGTCGGTGGGTCAAAGGGCAGGAACTCTGTCTTGACAGCAGGTACCTTGACCCCCTGAGACCTATTTCTAATCGTTGTAACAACCCTGGGACTTTAGTGTCTTGTTTCCCCTTTCTGCAGAAGAGACATCTTAGGCATCACAGGTTGAGCAGCTGGCCCAAGCTTGCACCAGACTAAATGGCTGATTGACCCAGAATGTCTGGCTCTAAGACCCTATTTCAGTCCCTGCAGCCAGGGCCTTCTTTCTGATATACAAACATTTCTGGTTTTTTGTTTGTTTGGTTGGTTGGTTTTGGTTTTTCCAGACAGGGTTTCTCTGTGTAGTTTTGGTGCCTGTCCTAGATCTCGCTCTGTAGACCAGGCTGGCCTCGAACTCACAGAGATCCACCTGGCTCTGCTTCCCAAGTGCTGGGATTAAAGGCGTGTGCCATGTTGCCCGGCTATACAAACATTTCTATATGTTGTCCTCGGGGTCAAATTCAGATACCTTGCAGGGATGATGAGACATTTCCCACCATCCCCCCCTCCACCCTGGCCTTTCTCTCTCATGTACTGGGGCGGGACCCAAGGGAGTTGCCATTGTGAGACACTACCACTGATCTACAGCCCAGCACCCACCACCACCTGGAACCATAAACATGGCTGGTCCAGGCTCTTTGTCTCACAAACTAGTAGCAACTAACAAAAGAAAAGGAATCATTTTCATTAGAGTGAGTATTGGATGCTATAGGAGACAGGGTTAATCTAAATCAGTATTGAAGGAATCAAGGAAGGTTTCTAGAAGAAAAGATGACCGTATAAAGAAACCAAAAAAAGCTGGATGTGGTGACTCATATCTGTGATCCTAGCACAGATCAGAGTTTCACTAAAGTGTCTCGGGCTTACACTGGAGCCTAGGTGATCCTCCTGCCACAGCCTCTGGAGTAGCTGGGAATACAGGCTTATGCCACCAGACCTGGCTCCATGCTGTAGTGATATTCACTACAGCATCACAAGGGTGTTCAGTCCTCTTACCCTGGGACACTACACATTGTAATATTTCTATTTTGTTGATGTTGTTAGTTTGGGGGATAAAAAGTCTCAGGATGCAGCCCTGCCTGGCCTGGAATTAAAAGCCATTCTCTTGCCTCTGCCTCCCACCCCAAGTGTTGGGATTACCAGTGTGTCCCACCATGCCCAGCAGACCAGTCCTTATTTTTATTGACCCTTCCTCCCTCCCTCCATCACCTCCTTCCTTTTCTTTCCTTCTTTCCTTTCGTAGAATCATCCCACACAGCTCAGGCTAGCTTTACCTAGCTCAGGCTAGCTTTAAATCATAGTACTCCTACTTAGGCCTCCTAAGTGCTAGGATCACAGATATGAGTCACCACATCCAGCTTTTTTTGGTTTCTTTATACGGTCATCTTTTCTTCTAGAAACCTTCCTTGATTCCTTCAATACTGATTTAGATTAACCCTGTCTCCTATAGCATCCAATACTCACTCTAATTAAAATGATTCCTTTTCTTTTGTTAGTTGCTACTAGTTTGTGAGACAAAGAGCCTGGACCAGCCATGTTTATGGTTCCAGGCTTGTGCTTAGCTCTGTGTCTCTGCACAAACTATGTGCTCTTTGAACATTTGCTTAATGACTCAATGCTCTGTAGACTCATTCCACATCTCATATATCTCTGATCCCAACTATTAGAGCAGGGTTATGCTTGTTCAGCATGCAGGAGATCCTGGGTTTAACCCCTCACCATACCACAGATAAAAAAGAAACAGAGAAAGAGAAAGGTAAAAACTGGGATGTGGCTCAGTTGATGGGGTCCTTACTTGGCATTCGTGAAGCTCTAGGCATGAGTGCAAAGCTCTAGCATTGCACAGACCGGACATCATGATACACATTTGGAATCCTAGCACTTCGAAGGAGCATCTGGAGCTCAAGGTCAAGAAACCTAGACTGGCATGAAACTCACGTACTGAGTAGTCCAGGCTGACCTTAATTTAAGATGATCGTACATTAGCTTGGCCTCAGTCTCCAGAGTGCCTGGTTTGTATTCAGAATTTAATCTTCTTGAGATTTACTTATTTTTAATGTATGGGTGTTTTGCCTGCATGTGTGTCTGTGTGCATTCAGTATCTGCAGAGGCCAGAAGGTCAGATCTACTTGAAACTGGAATTACAGATGGTTGTGAGCTGCCAGGTGGGTGCTGGGAATCAAACTTGGGTCCTTCAGAAGAGCTGCCAGGGCTCCTGACTGCTAACCCATCTCTGCAGCCCTGTATTCAGGATTTTGAAGGATCGTTTTTGGGGTTGTTTAGTCCTGTTCCTAGGAATAGAAGATATGGTCCTTATTATTCAAAAGTGTCATTTCTTAGTTGGGCGGTGGTGGCACACTTCTTTAACCTCAGCACTCAGGAGGAAGAGACAGGTGCTCTCTGTGAGTTCAAGTCCAGTCTGGTCTACAGAGTGACAGCCAGACTTATGTAGAGAGACCCTGTCTCAAGAAATAAACCAAAGCCGGGCAGTGGTGGCGCGCACGCCTTTAATCCCAGCACTTGGGAGGCAGAGCCAGGCGGATCTCTGTGAGTTCGAGGCCAGCCTGGGCTACCAAGTGAGTTCCAGGAAAGGCACAAAGCTACACAGAGAAACCCTGTCTCGAAAAACCAAAAAAAAAAAAAAAAAGAAATAAACCAAAACAAAAATGTAGGTATATGTGTTTTTATTTATTGTTTGTATGTGTGTGGGTGCAAGAATGTCACAACACGTGTGGATGCCAAAGGACAATTTGCAGGAATCTTTTTCTTCTACTACGTGGGTCCTGGGATCGGGTTTAGATTGGTGGGTTTTGCTTTAGCTCACTGAGCCATCCCGCCAACCCTCTCAAAAGAAAGGTTTATTTTATTTTTAACTATGGGTTTGTGTCTGTGTGCGTGTGTGTGACCATGAGAACAGGTCCCTGCAGAGGTCAGAGACATCAGATCTGGAGCTGGAGTTATAAGTGTTCTCCAACTACCTGACGTGGGAACTCAGGTCCTCTGAAAGAGCGGTGCATGCCCTTAATCACTGAGACGTCTCTCCAGCCCTAAAGATGCTAATTTATTTCATGTAAGATTCCAGGGCATACTTTTCTCTAAAAATAAAAATATGGGGCCTGGAGAGATGGCTCAGCAGTTAAGAGCACTGGCTGCTCTTCCAGAGGACCTGGGTTCAATTCCCAGCACCCACATGGCAGCTCACAACTGTCTGTAACTCCAGTTCCAGGGATCCGAGAGACACACATGCAGACAGAACACCAATGCACATAAAATAAAAATAAATCACTTAAAAAATAAAAATACGGAGCACTTCATGAATTTGTGTGTCTTCCATGCCCAGGGGCCATTTAGATCTCTGAGTTGTTCCAATTTTTAATGTAGGTGCTGCTGAAGGGAACACTCCAGGGACTGTTTTAACAAGAGACCTTCCTGGAGACCAATAGGGTCTTAGTTCAATGCTGACCTGTACATACATGATCGATACCCAAGCAGGGAGGGTTCCTGTGTTCCAAGGCTATTTTCCTGCCCCCCACCCCATGGTCTTTTCTGTCCCTGCTTCTTTCTTCCCATAGTGCTTTCAGATTCTGATCTGTCTCCTCTGAGATTGCTGTTTCATTTCAGAGCTCAAATGTCAACCAGGGAAACTGAGGTTCAGAGAAGAGGGGGAACAAGACTAGAGCCTTGCAGCTCTTAAAAGTCAGGGTGTGTATAAGTACTTGGGGTGGTGTCTCTTTTTCCAAGTTGTCTCGGATGGAGGTTTTTTTTTTCGGTTTTTCGAGACAGGGTTTCTCTGTGTAGCTTTGCGCCTTTCCTGGATCTCGCTCTGTAGACCAGGCTGGCCTTGAACTCACAGAGATCCGCCTGGCTCTGCCTCCCAAGTGCTGGGATTAAAGGCGTGTGCCACCACCGCCGGCTCGATGGAGTTTGCAAGCGGTCTCTCTCCTGTGCTGTCAGATTTGCCTCTTAGAGCTCCAGACTCCTCCATGTCCAATCAAACTGCCGGGCTAGGCAGTGTCCACATTCTGAGCCCGTGAGGGAGTCTGTTTCTCTGGTCACCAGTCCGTTGCTCTTCAAGGGTCCCATCAGATTAGCGGTTCCCCCTCAGAATTCTTGTCTGCGTCCCTACCATATATCTGCCTTTGTTGTTGTTGCTGTTTGTTTTTTGAGTTCTTCTTTATGAGGAAGGGCCGCAGCCCATATGTGGAGGTCACTGGACAACCTGCAGGAGTCCGTCTTTTCTGTCCACTGTGTGGGTCCTGGGGTGTCAGGACTGGCAGCAACTGTCTTTCCCTTCTGAACTGTCTGGCTTATCTTTGTTTTGGTTTTTCAGGCAGATGCCACATTAAACTCATATTGTACCAGAACTCCGTCGGGAGCCTAGACTGGTCTAGAACTTGTGGCAATCCTCCTGCCTCAGCTTCCTGAGTGCTGGGATTACATGCATGTGCCAGCATACCTGGCATCTTTTCTCTTTGAGGTGTGGCTTCACAGTGTCATCAAGGCTGGCCTCAGCCTCCTGGTAACTGAGATGATAGTCTCACACCCTTGTGCCTGCCTCCTTGTGTCCTCCTGTTTTCTTGTTTCTGGGTGCCTTCTTCTTTCTAATCCCCTCAGGATTGTCTGTCACCGGAGTCACCACTGGAGAGGAGGGCTGGGCCTGGGTGCTTGGGGGCGGGTAGTGGCCAGACTAGGGGCCCGGGACATGAGCGCAACTTTCCAAGCTTCTCTTCCAGGCCCCTGTGGTTGGGGAGCTCCACAGAGGGAGGGATGAGTCAGCAGGGCCACAGAGCAGGGGGGCAGTTGGGTGGGGGTAGGGATGCCTGGGGTTCCCCAGGGCCAAGGAGTCTGCTAAGGCCATCTGGGTATCTGACTTCTGTGGGTGTGGGTAGTGAAGGGATCAAAGGTCCCTGGTGGTTCCTACCCTAGCAGGAGGCAGAGAGAGCATTACATAGGGCTGGCCATATCAGGTCTATCCTCAGGTTTGTTTGTTTGCTTTTCGAGACAGTGCCTCATGTAGCCCAGGCTAGCCTTGAATTCGCCGTGTAGCTGAGGATAACTTTAAACTTGTGATTCTTCTACCTCTACCTCCCAAGTGTTGGGATGATGACATTTGCTTGTGTGGAGATGCTATGTTGATATGAGTCTACGTGGGTCCACAAGAGGCATCAGGGTCACTGAATCTGTGTGTGTGTATGTATACCTGTGCGTATTTGTGCCGGTATGAGTGGGAATCAGGGAGTCTTCAGGTAAGCATGGTATGTATAGCACACTTATGAATCGGTGTGCGTTAGTGTGGATGTCTGCACATTACGTAATGTGAATGGGTTCTGTGTTCTCCAGAAAGTACGCTAGTATGTGTACCTGATAGTGTGTTATTCATCAGGCTTGTGGGGTGGTGTGTCACTTTTGAGGGTTCTGTTTTCTCCTTTCTGGTGAGTCTCTCTCTAAGCAGTCAAATCTATCACAGCATCAAGGGAAGAGCCTAGGAGTCCCCTTGGGTAGAGATTTCAGAGAGAAACCCTGAACAGGTGAGCACAGGCAGAGGAAGAAGGCAACTCCCCTCAAGAAACGGGGTAAAATTTCCCATCCTCCCCGAGTTTTATTCTCCCTCCACCCTTCCAAAAAGAAGCAAAATCATTAGAACAGAAGGCAGGTTCCAGATTTAACCCCTCTCTAGTCTAGGGAAGCCCACCCTGAATCTCTCAAGGGAGGGAAGGGAGTGGTTCCTGCGGTTCAGCCCAGCGCTGGCATTGGGAGATCAGAAAGGCACCATCCACCCCTTCCAGAGCCGTCCATCTCAGAGCTCAGCGTCTGGGTGGCCATGGGCGGAGGCTGAGGGGCCCCCAGGGTGGTGGGGGTGGTGGATAGAAACCAGATGCCTAGGGGGTTTATACTGGAAGGGCCAGAGCCGCAGCCTCTACCCGCCCCTGCCACATGGCGCCTCTGCCTGGGCTGCCCCACCCCCTGGGAGGCTGGGCAGAAGGAGGCCTGTGAGGGTGGAGGTAGGTCCTTGGGAAGGGATTCCAGTTGCTGCCCTCCAGCCCCTGAGGGCACTGGAGACGTGGGTGGGGAGCAGGACCCAGGAATACCAGGTCCACAGCTGGCTTGCGATACTGTCTTAATTGGAGTGTGAGGGAAGTCAGAAACCAGAGCCTGAGGGCAGTGGGTGAAGATAACAGCCCCTCACCTGACTGACGCAGGTCCTTGTCCAGGAGGCTTGTTGGTGTGCAGGGACTGCACACCTGGGTTCCTATGTCAGGCGCTGGCTCTTGCATCTCCCTGGGACCTCGCTCCTCCTCCTTTTCATAACATTCTTTGGATTTAAATACTTTCCTTCCCACAGGGAATGGAAGCGTTGACCTTTGCCTCATCTACCGCCTTGCGGAGTCTCTCCTTTCTCCTTTTCATCCATCCCTCACCCTTTCATTCTCTTTCTTTTTTTTTTTTTTTGGTTTTTCGAGACAGGGTTTCTCTGTGTAGCTTTGCGCCTTTCCTGGATCTCGCGCTGAAGACCAGGCTGGCCTTGAACTCACAGAGATCCGCCTGGCTCTGCCTCCCGAGTGCTGGGATTAAAGGCGTGCGCCACCACCGCCCGGCTTCATTCTCTTTCTTATCCAATCAGGTTTGAGTCCAACTCCCTCTCTCACTTTGTTGCTAGAGTCTAGATTTTCCTCCAGCCTCAGTTTCCTGATTGTCCTATCCTCTGTTCTCTAATGATACGGTAATTGCTGGAAAGCTTCCTTTTTCTTTTTCTTCTCTCTCTCTCTCTCCCTCTCTTTTTTCTGTGTAGCTTTGGAGCCTGTCCTGGAACTCTCTTTGGAGACCAGGCTGGCCTCGAACTCACAGAGATCCGCCTGCCTCTGCCTCCCGAGTGCTGGGATTAAAGGCGTGCGCCTAAGCTTCCTTTTCTTCTTCCCAGTTTCTTAGTTAAAGCCCTAGAAATTCAACTAACACTCGGCCTTAGACTCCCCCACAACCACCACCATGGAGGAGACTGCGAGGTCATAGGAACGTCCCACCACGGGCACTTCCTTTTGGGCAGACAGACGGGTGGGGTGGCCCATGTAATCTTCGGACACAATTATGCCCTATTTATACTGCATCCCCGCCCTCCACCTGCTGGCTGCTTTACCCTTCACCTCCTCCAGACCTGGCTGTTCCTCCAGCTTTTTTTCCCTTGGCCCTCTGAAGCCATCCTGGCCTGTCTTTGTTCCTCTGTGTTTGTTCCTTTTACGGCGGTTTTTGTTGTTGCCTTTTCCTCTCTGCTTTCTCTGGGTTTGGTTTCGTTTTGTCTCTTTCAAAGCCAGGCATCTGTCTATTTGTCTGTGTGTTTGTTTCTTCTTTCTTTCTTTTTTTATTGAGACAGGGTTTCTCTCTGTAGACCAGGCTGGCCTCAAACTCACAGAGTTCCTCCTGCCTCTGCCTCCTGAGTGCTGGGGTTAGAGGTGTGTGGCACCACATCCAGCTTTATTTATTCTGAGACATGGTCTTACTATGTATCCTTGGCTGTCCTAGAACTTGCCAGGTAGACCAGGCTGGCCTTGAACTCACAGAGATCCACCTGCCTCTGCTTCCCGAGTGCTGCGATTAAAGGCTCCTCTTCTCTTTCTTAGGCCCTCTAATCCCTCTTCCGGTTCTCATGGACAATTTCCTGTGCTCTTGTGTCCTCTGTGCTTTCTGGTTTTTCTTTTGCTTTGCTCCTTTGTCCGACAGCCACCTGGTTCCCAGTGATTCCCTTAAATGTTTCGTTCACAGGGTTCCTTTGTGAAATGTGTTAGAGAAAAAGCGAGAAAGGGAGAGAGAGGAGAAGGAGACTGGAGATGAAATTAAACCCAGGGCCACACAGCTCACCCCTTAGCGTGCCCTCTACCACTGAGTTATGTCCTCAGCCCTCTCTGGGGAGATCAGATGTGGGAGTTGGGATCCAAGAACGCGTGAGTCCTCCCTGAATTCTGTTTCTGCTTGCAGCTCAAACCGCCATGTCCCTGAACCTCCCTCACCATCCTTCTCTCCGTTTTGTCTTTGAAGAGCTGTGAGGTCAGAAGGAACAAGAAAGTGGGTTCTCTCCCCCCACAAAGAGAAAATGAGGGCTGCTGGAGAGTAAAGTGAGCAGGAAAGGACAGGCAAGGCTGGTTGAGGACAGAGGAGTGGGGGGGGGGCGCTGACTTGTGAGGTCCCCCTTCCCAGATGGGGCCCCTCACTGGGCAGATGCTATTTAAAAAAAATTACATATGTATTTTTATTTTATGCGCATTGGTGTTTTGCCTGCATGTGTCTGTGTGAGGGTGTTGGCAGGTCCCCTGGAGTTACAGAAAGTTGTGAGCTGCCATGTGGGTGCTGGGATTGAACCCAGGTCCTCTGGAAGAGCAGACAGTGCTCTTAACCACCGAGCCATCGCTCCAGCCCTGACAGATGCTATGCTTACCACTGTCCAGTCCTCTCCATGAACTTATCCTAGGGCCAAGGCATCAGTTAATAAGTACTTTAGATTTCGCTCTCTCAACTTGATCGACATTCCTTCTCTTTCTCATCTACGAGGGATCCATCACAGTTGGAAGTCCTGGTCCAGCACCAGCGTAAGTCCTTTCTGTAAAGGGAATTGCTACATGGCCATTGAGAAGGAAGCCAGGAAGTCCCACCCAGGGAAGCATGATGACTTCTGAGAGGAGCCACCTGACGAAGGAAGAGGGCATCAGGAATGGCAACTGGAAAATCAGAGGGAAGGAGAGAAGCTAGAGAATTCTTGGGACTAATCTGGGGGGAGATTAATCCCAAGAGGCTAAGTAAGTGTGGGCATGAATGAGTTGACCCAATGGGCTTCTGCTCTGACCCTCACTCCTGCTCACCTTAAATCTGTCTCCTCAGGCTCCAGGTTCTGCCCTACAAACTGAGGTGGGCCGAGGTCTCATCCCCTAACAGTGAAATTGAGGTCACCCTCCTCTGCAAACTGTGCTATGTTTATTCACGCCCCATCGCTTGCTCCAGGCTGGCTCTAGAGCCCAGCTCACTGACACGTAAAGTTTGGGCAGTAGACCAGTATCCCTCCTATTTCACACAATGTACGTACACACACACACACACACACACACACACACACACACACACACACACACGCATGCACGCACAGTGCCACCCTGATCTTGTGAGCACACGAAAGCATCTCCGTTGCCGCCTTGGGGGTGGTGGGTGGCAGTGTAGGTGCCCCATTGTGCCATCATACTCACTCTACGTGAGTTTGTCAGTGTTCATTCACCACCGTGACAGTCCCCATGTGGGTAGCAGTATGTGCGTGTGCATGCATCATCCCCGTGTCTGTCCATGAGTGTGTATGTCAGTGTGTTCCAGTCTCTCTGTGTGTCGTCCCCAATCCCCCATCCCCCCCCCCAGATCTCTAATTAGTGGTTTGGGGTTTGTTCCTTTTCCCTCCTGTTCCTTCCCTCAGCAGAGGAGCGGCGGCGGCAGCAGCAGCCTCAGCAGCGGCGGCGGCAGCAGCAGCAGCAGCGGCGGCGGCAACAGAAGCTGCTGCCGCGCCACTGAGTAGCTGCAAGGACTCGGAGTCAGAGTAGGATTATAGGATTGGATCTGAGTGGGAACAAGAGTGAGCTGGCCTGGGAGAGGAGCAGATCCCTCCCAGCGCCCTCGGGCCACCCATTGCCAGTAGTCTTCGTGCCAGAGCTCTTGAGAGGAGACGGGACAGCCAACCCCAGACTCTCCAGGTACAGATGCTGAGCAGCCCTGGGGGATTGCCCACAGATGCCTATTGGACTTCTGGGGTATGTAGGACACCTGGGTCTACCAACCCTTTCCACCTCTCCCTGTAGCACCCTTAAGGAAGCTGTGACAATTTGCCCATATTCCTGCTTCCCACCCGCTTCCCTGGGCACCCCCTTTTCTCCTCTCCCTCCCAGATCCCTTCTTTGGGGAGCTCAGCAAATGGAGCAGGAAATTTGGACCCTCTGCCTCCCTCTCTCGCCCTCCTCATTGGATCCGGAGTCTTCTCCGCTGGGAAAGCTGTAATTAGAGGGTGGATCCCTACAGACAGAGAGCAGCCCCCCCACCCCCACCCCCCAGTCCCTTCTAACTTTAGATCTCTTCTCTTCTCCCATTCTCCCTCCCTCTCCCCTCTCCCTCTCCCTCTGGCTCCTCATTCTCTCCATCTGCCTGGCTCCTTGGGACCCGATCCCCAGCCTAAGGATGGCGTCCTCTCTGCTTGAGGTAACTGTTTCCGCCTCTTCCCAGGAAACCAGGTTCGCTCTTCCCGGTCCTAATCCATGCCTACCCCACCCCCTCAGCTCACATAGACAGTGGCTGTCACTTCCAGGGTCCTTCTGATGAGGAGGAGGAGTAGGGTCCCAGGAGGGGCAAGCAGAGGGCAGAAGCAAAGGGAGGGGAAAGCGGGGCCAGGGGTCAGAGGGCACTCAAAGAAGCGGGAGAGAGAATCAGGTGAAAAGAAAGTGAGGACTCTTGAGGTCAGCTAAGTACTAACTGTGAGGAGCGAAAAAGGCAATGGAGAACGGAGGGAGAAGAGATGGACAGTGGGAAACAGGTAGGCTGGCAGCAGATGGTATCTGAGTGGGCATGGAGGAGCCTTCAGCTACAGTTCTTTGGGCTGCGGGGAGTCCCATGTCTGGGGCTCCCTCCTACATTAAGCAAGATCTGGTCGGGTCTGTGTTGAGGAGGGAGCCTGGCCTGGGAGCTGGTGTGTGGGAGAGGAGGTAGGTTGTGAGAGAGAAGAGGAGGGCAGCCCTGCCTGTCGGGGGCTGGCCAGGGAACTGAGCTCAGGCCTGAGAGGGAACCAAGGAGGAGGGAACAGGGTCTGAGGCCGCTTGCCCGGCTCACAAATATTTAGCTTTCAGCCAAAGACAAACTAAGCTCTATTTTGGGAGTGGGAGGCTCCAGGGAGGACTGGGCCACTTCCCTCCAGGCTGGGACCCCATCACCCCTTGCCTCTGGTTCTGAAGATGGAGAACTAGGGTACCATATGAATTTAGGATCTTGAGAAATCACTAACTTTGTCAGGGCTTCTGGGGGACCCAAGGCACAGAGCTGGAAAGGGCGGACCCCCAGCCACTCAGGGCCTGAGGTCTTCCTGATCTCTTAGGCTGTTTCTGCATCACCATCTCTAGGCTGCTTTCAGGGTCCCTCTGAAGGAACTTGGGGTGAGATAATCCTCCTTGAATGTCAGTGCCCTCCAGTAGCATCAAATTATCCCTCTTCTTGGGGCCTTCGGAAGCCACCATCTCAGCCTGAAGTGGTGGCACACACCTTTAATCCCAACACTTGGGAGGCAGAAGCAGGTGAGTATGAGGCCAACCCGGTCTACACGGAGAACTCCAGGACAGCCAGAGCTACCTCGAGAGACCCTGTCTCAAAAACAAAACAAACAAAATGAATCTCTGTTCTGGGTGCCCTTACTCAGGTCCAAGGAGTGATGAGTCTTTGGTGATTGACTCATCAGAAAGCCACCTAGCTAAACCTGTGGGAGGGGTGTGTGTGTGTGTGTGTGTGTGTGTGTGTGTGTGTGTGTGTGTGACTTATGTGGACTTATGTGTCCACTGACCTGTGTATAAGTGTTAAAGTGCCTATATTGCTGACTTAGTGAGTACAGGTGTGTGTGTGTATACACAAGAGTGCATGTGTACTCATAAACTGGATTATTTTTGTATTTAGTCCAAATGAGGAATGGTATCCATAAGGCTATGGGATAACGACTTTGTGACTGAGTTTGAGGTAGGGCGGGACACACCCTATAAGCAGATAGGAATCCCAGATACAGAGATCTGCTCTCGGCTACATTGTGTACAGATTGTTAAATGGCCCTTTCCCCAATAGAGTCTAAATTTATTTACTTATTATTATGTCTATGTATGACTGCGGGCACATATTTTTACTCAACAGACTCTATGTTGAGCCATCATTGAAACAATGGTTTTGAGGAAGCAGGAGGAAAAAGGTGCATGTAATAAGTCCTGGGTCTGCCCAGGGCAGGGACAGTGTCCTGGGTACGCACATCACCCCAGCCATGCCAGCGTGGCACTTGTGCCTGGGGGAGGGGCAGCCCAGAGACTTTCTGGAAAGACACAGACTTGGGGAAGCATTTGGCCATAAAGAATGTGTCATGGATGCTAGGCCTGCAGGTCCCCCAGCTCCCTATGAACGGGCGGTGCCTAACCCAAAGACACACCAGTCTCTTTTTTTTTTTTTTTTGGAGACAGGGTCTCTCTACATAGTTTTCGCTGTCCTGGAACTTACTACGTAGCCCAGGCTGGCCTCGAACTCACAGAGATCTGCCTGCCTCTGCCTCCCGAGTGCTGGGGTTAAAGGCCAGCACATAAGGCAGTCTCTCCATTTCTTTTACCTAGTTTTTAGGGTCCTAGGTTTTTTTACCTCTTCTGTAATGCCCTGGGAATCCCTCTGTCTGGCAGGAGTAGCAGTGGGAGGAACCTGAGATTCAGAGAGGGAGGCAGCTGCTGGGGTAAGAAACTTAGCCCAACTGAGAGGGGAGCTGGGAAGGGGAGAGGAGGAGAGGGGAGGGAAGGGCAGAGGAGAAGAGGGGAGGGGAGAGGAGAGGAGAGGAGGGGAGGGGGGGAGAGGAGAAGAGGGGAGGGGAGAGGAGAGGAGAGGAGGGGAGGGGAGGGGGGAGAGGAGAAGAGGGGAGGGGAGAGGAGAGGAGAGGAGGGAAGGGCAGAGGAGAAGAGAGGAGGGGAGAGGAGAGGAGAAGAGGGGAGGGCAGAGGAGAAGAGAGGAGGGGAGAGGAGAAGAGGGGAGGGGAGAGGAGAGGAGAGGAGGGAAGGGCAGAGGAGAAGAGAGGAGGGGAGAGGAGAGGAGAGGAGGGGAGGGCAGAGGAGAAGAGAGGAGGGGAGAGGAGAAGAGGGGAGGGGAGAGGAGAGGAGAAGAGGGGAGGGAAGAGGAGAGGAGAGGAGGGGAGAGGAGGGAAGGGCAGAGGAGAAGAGAGGAGAGGAGAGGAGGGGAGGGGAGAGGAGAGGAGAAGAGGGGAGGGAAGAGGAGAGGAGAGGAGGGGAGAGGAGGGAAGGGCAGAGGAGAAGAGGGGAGGGGAGAGGAGAGGAGGGGAGGCCACTAGGTATGGAGTTGGGAAGCTTGTGTAGAGATATAGCTCAGAGCCACAGTGCTTGCTCAGCAGGGATGAGACCTTGGGTTCAATTCCTAGGATGCCAAAAGATAAAAATAAAATACTCATAATAAAAGAAAATATACTTTTTTTTTTTTTTTTTGGTTTGTTTGTTTTTCAAGACAAGACTTCTCTGTGTAGCTCTGGCTGTCCTGGAACCCTCTCTGTAGACCAGGCTGGCCTTGAACTCACAGAGACCCGCTTGTTTCTGCCTCCCAAGTGCTGGGATTAAAAACATTCTCCACCATTGCCTGGCAAGAATTTTTTTTTTTTAATTTTTATAAAGCTGGGTGAATTTAGAAACTTGGGAGAAACTCAGGAACTAGGAACAGGGACCTTGGGTGCTCAGCCTCGGTAGCTAGTCCCAGCTGTCAGATGTATAGTAAGGGTTCCCAGTGTGAGTTACCTGGAAAGAGGGGGTCCCCTTGCTCCACTTGACATCAGGACAAAAGCTGAGACAGCTCCTAACATGAGCTTTGTTTAGAGAGCCCTCCCTCGTTCAGTATTTTAAGCCTTTTATTTTGTTTGTTTATTTTCGTTTTTTGAGACAGGGTCTCACTATGTAGACTGTCCTGGAATTCCCTATGTAGATCAGGCTGGCCTCAAACTCCCGGAGACCTGCCTGCTTCTGAGTGCTGGGATTAAGGGCATGAGCCAGCACACCTGGCTAAGACTTTTGTTTTCAAGGGTGGTGGGGTAGGGATGGGGCACAGGGAAACTGGAAAGCGGGTATCTTGGTTTCTACAAGGTAATACATATGATCAGATATATAGGAGATATATCCGCCCAGAATCCTGAACACTTTCCCCCAGCTCTCACGGAGAGCAATCCGCCAGAAAAGGAAACTGAGGGTGTGAGGTGATGGACCCCCAGAGCAGTCCAGGACTTTGCTTTTTCTTTCTGGCCTTCAGGGGCCCCGTTGGCCCCCAAAGTCGGGGTCTCATGTCAGCCTAGGGTTGGCTGTCTTCTTTACCCCTCCCTGCCTCCCCACAGCTGGGTGGGGTCCCTGGGCTTGGCTGAGGCCCTTGTGGCCACAGTGTGAGGGCCGGGCAGGCGGGGGACCGCGTCGGCGTTTTTAAAAATAAACCGACCGCAGGGAAGCCACCGGAGCCGGAGCCGAGCAGGGCCGAGCTGGGCAGAGGGGGAGGGGGCAGCAGCTAAGGGGGAGGAGGAGGGAGGAATGGCCTGGTCGGGGTTTTCTGGGGCCCATCACCATGGTGGGCTTTTCTTAGGTAGGAAGCGTGTGCCTCCCTCCTCCTCCTCCTCCTCCTCCTCCTCCTCCTCCTCCTCCTCCTCCTCCTCCTCCTCCTCCTCCTCCTCCTCCTCCTCCGGCTTCCTTCTCCCGTCCTTTCCTGTGTTTTCCTTAGCTCTCCTGGCCCAGGATCTCTTCACCTCTCTTTTGTTTATTCTGGTTTATTCGCTCTCCCACCCTTTTGTTTTTAAACTTTCCTGTCCATTTCTGTCTCTTAATGCAAACATCTCCCTCTATGGCCCCCCCTCTGTCCCTATGGAGCTTGGCATGGCACAGTGTCCTTTGTGCCCCTTGTTTATGCATCTCCATGTGTCTCTGAGCTCCCATGCTGCCACCCCTCCGTCATGCTAGGATTTCACTCCTGCCCCACCAGCTCTCCAGCCTAGCCTCCTCTCTGCTTGGACCATTCCCTTTCTGGGAAAGCCCAGGGGTTTACTGTTGGACAATATGCAACCGTTTATTTGGGTGGCTTTTGATGGCTCATATTTGGGAGCCCATAGGATTGACAGACCTCAGAAAGAGAGAGCTGGGCAGGGGTGCAGTGAAGAGGTTGTGATTGCAAACTCCTTTGTTGAAACCTTGAGATACGAGCCTCACCTATAGGACTTGGCATCGAATCTCACACACATACATACTGAACCAGGAGCAACTAGGCAGGTCTGAGAACCCTAGATTCTTGCCTTTGTAAGTTTTATTAGGAAGACACCAGACTATTACACAATTGACTCTTTCTTTCTTTTTTCTTTCTCTCTCTCTCTCTCTCTCTCTCTCCCCCCTTCCTCCCTCCCTCCCTCTCTCCCTTCCTTCCTTCCTTCCTTCCATTCCTATTTTTTTTTTTCTGAGACAGGGTTTCTCTATAGCTCTTTCTATCCTATCCTGGGTCTCGCTCTATAGACCAGGCTGGCCTTGAACTCAGAGATCTGCCTGCCTCTGCCTCCCGAGTGCTGGGATTAAAGGCGTGCGCCACCACAACTAGTACTTTTTTTTTTAATTTTATGTGTATAGGTGTTTTGCCTGCATAGATGCATGTGCTCCACAGTGTTCCTGGTGCCTGTGGAGCCCGAAGAGGGTGTTGGAACTGCCATGTGGGTGCTGGGAACCTAACCCCAGTTCTCTGGAAGAACAATAAGGGCTTTTAACTGCCAAGCCATCCCTCCAGCCCCAATGACTAACTTTAAAAAAAAATGTTACACACACACACACACACACACACACACACACACACACACGAGAGAGAGAGAGAGAGAGAGAGAGAGAGAGAGAGAGAGAGAGAGAGAGAGAGAGGAGAGAGAGGTTATTTATGTGAATGCCATGCCATAGCATGTGTGGAAGTCAGAGGACAACCTGTGGGACTTCTCTCCTTCTACCACGTGGGTTCTGGGGGTTGAGCTTAGGTCACCAGGCTTGGTAATAAATGCCCTTACCCACTGAGCCACCTCACTGGCCCCATGTGGTCAAGCCTTTGAAGGATGTCTTTTATTTTCTCTCTCTCTCTCTCTCTTTTTTTTTTGTTTTTTGATGAGGCAATTTGATTGAACCCAGGACCTTGTACATACTAGCCAAGGATGCTGGAGTGCATTTTTTCCCAAGAGGTTCTGAGTCTGACCTAAGGAGGGGTATCACGCGCTCCCGAGACACGATTGTCGTGAGGGTGGCCAGATTGGTCACAGCAGATTGGTAGGCATTGAGGAGATAACCCTGATTTTTGTTTGTTTGTTTTTCAAGAAAAGGTTTCTCTGTGCAGCCCTGGCTGTCCTGGAACTCTTTCTGTAGACCAGACTGATCTCGAACTCACAGAGATCCACCTGCCTCGGCCTCCCAAGTGCTGGGATCAAAGGCGTGCGCCACCACCACCTGGCTACCTCTGTGTTTCTTTTTCTTTTCTTTCTTTCTTTTTTTTTTTTTTTTTTTTTTTTGAGACAGGGTTTCTCTGTGTAGCTTTGGAGCCTGTCCTGGAACTCACTCTGTAGCCCAGGCTGGCCTCTACCTCTGTGTTTCTAAAAGACCTTCCTCAGCCCACTTTCATGTCTTCTTCCATTCGCTGCACTTGGATGGTATGGTGCAGACCAACCCCATGTACCTAGAGGAGTAAGGCTGTGACCCAGCTCCGTCTTGGAGAGTCCTGAGGACTTTGGACTCTTCCATTGCCCAGAGGGATACTAGCTAGGACCAAGAAGCAGGAGGCGCCCAATGCCTGTTTGAAAGACATTCTTGCTTCACCACAGTCTCGGCTTGGCTGCAGCCCTGTTCCCTCTCAATGTCCCAGTGTCTCTGCTGTCCTTTCCTCCAGCTTCCCAGCTCCAAAGTCCATGCCAAGAGATTTCTTACCAGGTACATGTGGACTTGACCTCAAGGAGATGAGGCTCGGCTCTTTAGTCGGGGGCTGAAGCAGAAACAGGAAACGGAATTGAGGAATTGAGGTGAAGCCAGGAAAATCTGGATTGGGGTCAAATGTGGTCCCAGTACTGTTGCCTCTCTCTGTGCCCCCCTACTGCTTTCTGTGGAGAGGGTATGGGAGGTGTCCCTGCTGTGCTGACCCGGCTCATCTCAAAGATTCCTGGGCTCAAGTCACCCTCCTGCCTCAGCATCCTGAGGAGCTAGGCCTTTTTTGTTTGCTTTGGTTTTGGTTTTTCGAGACAGGATCTCTTTACATAGCCCTGGCTGTACTGGAACTTACTGTGTAGACAGGGTATCGTATCCTCAAATGCATACAGATCCTCCTGCCTCTGCTTACAGAGTTCAAGCCTAAAGGTATGCGCCACCACACCTGACCTGTTTGCTTTTGAGACAGGGTCTATGTAGCCTATTCTAGCCTGGAATTGCTATGTAGCTGAGGATGACCCCAGCCTCTGATTTTTCTTACCTACACCTCCTAAGTGCTAGGATTACGGTGTAAGCCACCATATTCAGACCATGGTCCTCTTTGAGGAACATCTTTTTTGAGTCCCTGGCCATGGCTTGGCTTCTGTCTGCTTCGAATCCACTTTTCTAGGTCAGGACAAACCAGGCAGCTCTTCCTCAGACACTGGCACACTGTTACTGACTCCACAGGGGGCTCTTCCGGTCTGCTGGACTAGAGCGTGGGGTTCGGGCCTCTCCTGTCCCTTCCTGACTCAGTCTTAGTTCTGCCCTGGCACATTGCTTTTCCCTCTGGTTCGCCTCTCCCTTTCACCTTTCCCTAGCCTCTGTGCGTGCTCCGTTCTCCGTGTCTGCGGGTCTCAGTCAGGTAGCTGCTGCGCGCTTCACTCCTCACACGTCCTCCTAAGCCGTGCCTCTCCCTCTCTCTCCAGGAAGAAGCTCACTATGGCTCCAGTCCCCTGGCCATGCTGACGGCGGCTTGCAGTAAGTTTGGCGGCTCCAGCCCTCTGCGGGACTCAGCGGCACTGGGAAAAGGAAGCACAAAGAAGCCATACTCTGACCTTTCAGCCCCCAAAGCCATGGGGGATGCCTACCCAGCTCCCTTTTCCAGCACCAACGGTCTCCTCTCACCGGCAGGCAGCCCTCCAGCCCCAGCCTCTGGCTATGCCAATGACTATCCACCCTTTCCCCACTCATTTCCTGGGCCCACTGGCGCCCAGGACCCTGGGTTACTGGTACCCAAGGGGCACGGCTCTTCTGACTGCCTGCCTAGTGTCTACACCTCTCTGGACATGGCACACCCCTATGGCTCCTGGTACAAGGCAGGCATCCATGCAGGTATCTCACCAGGTCCAGGCAACACACCTACTCCTTGGTGGGACATGCACCCTGGGGGTAACTGGCTAGGTGGAGGGCAGGGCCAGGGTGATGGGCTGCAAGGGACACTGTCCACAGGCCCTACTCAGCCTCCACTGAACCCCCAGCTGCCTACGTACCCATCTGACTTTGCCCCACTTAATCCAGCACCCTACCCAGCGCCCCACCTCCTGCAACCAGGGCCCCAGCATGTCCTACCCCAAGATGTCTACAAGCCCAAGGCAGTTGGCAATAGTGGGCAGTTGGAGGGAAGTGGTGCGGGCAAGCCCCCTCGGGGTGCGGGCACCGGGGGCAGTGGTGGATATGCCGGCAGTGGGGCAGGGCGTTCCACTTGCGACTGCCCCAATTGTCAGGAGCTAGAGCGGCTCGGGGCAGCAGCGGCTGGGCTGCGGAAGAAGCCCATTCACAGCTGCCACATCCCTGGTTGCGGCAAGGTGTACGGCAAGGCTTCACATCTGAAAGCCCACCTGCGCTGGCACACTGGCGAGAGGCCTTTCGTCTGCAACTGGCTTTTCTGCGGCAAGAGGTTCACCCGCTCGGACGAGCTGGAGCGCCATGTGCGCACTCACACCCGGGAGAAGAAGTTCACCTGCCTGCTCTGCTCCAAGCGCTTTACCAGGAGCGATCACTTGAGCAAACACCAGCGCACCCACGGGGAACCAGGCCCGGGGCCGCCCCCAAGTGGCCCTAAGGAGCTGGGGGAGGGCCGTAGCGTCGGTGAAGAAGAAGCCAGTCAGCCTCCCCGATCTTCCACCTCGCCTGCACCCCCAGAAAAAGCCCCTGGAGGCAGCCCGGAGCAGAGTAACCTGCTAGAGATCTGAGCTGGGTAGAGGAAGGTCTCCAGCTCCAGGGTCCTCTTGCCAGGCTCTCTTGGTGTGGGGGAGCACTGCTGCCCCCCCCCCCCCGCTCTTTCCTATGCATGCTATACTTTGGGGCTCTCTGCCTTCCCCTGGACCTTCCTAGCTTGGTTGTCTCCTTAGCTCGCTTCCCTTTGCCGCGAGTCTTAGGCAAACTCCTCTCAAGCCCCTGCTTGTGTCTAGTCCTGTGCTCTGGCTTCCTGAACTTTCCCCTCCCTGCCCGGCTCACAGCTTCTCTTACTTTCCTCCGGTTTCCCGTCACTCTTTCTTTTCTGCTTCCCAACCCTGTTTGCCACCTCCCCACCCCACCCCCGCAGCTTCAGGCTGTTCCAGACTTCCCCTGGGCTTTCCAGTCCCTTGAGCCTTTTTTTTTTTTTTAAACGAACACAATGATGATGATGATAATTTATTGCCCCCTGGTGGTTCTTCATTAGGAAGCCGAGTTAGGGAGATTGGCGTTAGTAACCTGGCCGGGAGCAGAGTGCCAAGAAGGGGGCAGACCAACGGGGATCGGATCCCAAAGATGGGGTGACCCCAGGGTCAGGGAGGCTGCCCCCAGCCTTGAGTACTTAGCCCCTATGCACCCAGGAGTAAAGAATAGTAATAATAATAATTCTATTTATCTAAGTTATGATGACGGGTCAGGTAGAGTGAGCTGGAGAGGGAAGGGGATCTTTTTTTTTTCTTTCTTTTGGCTAAGGAAATTCTAGTCAAATGCATCTCTGCATAGACAAAACGATAGTGGAGATCTTGTTCATAGATCTCTGTCATCGAGGTCTCAGTGTGGTTTCTTTTTCAGTGGAGTTTTTAAAATTGGGTTGTTTGAGTTTATGTGGGTGCCTCTCAGTAAGGTCACTAAGATCCCCAGCCCCCGCCAGAAGCTGTGAAACTCCAAGTCGTACGGAGGGGAGGACTGGACTGTACCCCAGCTCTCTTGACCTCAGGGCAGGTTCTTCCACTAACCCTCTCCTCATACCCTGTGACCTCATCAGGCTCGTCCCCTGTTGTCATGGTTATGGAGAACTTGCAGCTGCCATGTTAAAGATGTCCTTTGGGGGGAAGCCCACCTAACGGGAGGACTTTGGTTTGGAGGTGCCCCTTCTGAGAAACAGGTGGGGAAAGGCTTTCTCTGGGATCAAATCCAAGTACATCAAGTATTTATTGAACGCCTACTATGTGCAAGGCCTGGTGCCTAGAAGCCATGAGAAAGAATTTATAGCAGGACAGAGGTCCCTAAACGGATTTGGGGCACATCACAGGCCCCCAGTCTAGGAGTTTCCACTCCATTCCAATGACTTTTAAAAGCCGCTTGTGCCTTTGAATGCCTTTCCTGAGACTATTGGATCTTCCTGTTCTGTCCCTGCTCCTTCGAGGCCCCAAGACAAAGGGTAAAGCCAGTGGAGTCTGGGAAGAGCATCATAACATTGTTGAAAGGATCATCCCCTTGTGGAGTCTTTCTTTTTTTTTAATTTAATAAATAAAAGTTCGATTTGAAATTGTGTCTGGTGAGAAAAGGGGAAGAGGAGGGAGATGGATGGCCCACGGGACATTTCCTTAGCAAAGCGGGGACTTCCTGTGGGAGATACTTAATCCGGCACGGTTGCATTCACGCTCAAAGTAAAAAAGAAAAAAAAAAAAAGGCCGGGCGGTGGTGGCGCATGCCTTTAATCCCAGCACTCGGGAGGCAGAGCCAGGAGGATCTCTGTGAGTTCGAGGCCATCCTGGGCTACCAAGTGAGTTCCAGGACAGGCACCAAAACTACACAGAGAAACCCTGTCTTGAAAAACCAAAAAAAAAAAAAAAAAGAAAGAAAAGAAAACGTGGTCGGCCATACTCTCTACTGGAGTTGGGATTTTAGTCGCCAAGTGCAGGAAGGCCGAGTGCTTTCTTCCAGGGCTCTTTCTCCGTCGGCACCCCGGACCGTGGTCCGGGCGGTGCCGGGGCCGGAGTATCATCAGAACTGTGGTCACGGTATGGATTAGCCGGTGAGACTCCCGGCAGGGCTGACCCGCCTGGCACGTAACCCGCCCCCTGCCCGGGGCCTGCAATCAGTCGTGCCTGCCTCGGAGTGAGCGGGGGAACAAAAGCCACTCTGTGACGGCCGTCCCCAAGCCACAATAGGGCTTTGTGCGGCCCCCGCCCCCGGGGCTCCCCCGCTGGGCTCAGGGGGTGCACGGGACGCTTCCCCGGGCCGCGGCGCCCGGACCGCCGTCCAGCCCGCCGCCGCCGCCGCCGCCGCCGGGGTGGAGGAGCGGGGACCCGAAGGCGACCCCACCCCGCTCCGCGCTCGCGCGCGCCTGGGCCCAGGTGCAAGATCCCCAGCCCTCCGGCCCGGCGCGCGGCTTTCAAAGGCGCTTTGAAGAAACCCGAGGACGTGTCGAGCCGGCTGGGGGCTGGGTCGCAGGAGACCCGGGAGAGTGGGCAGGACGTGGGGGCGCCGGGGCGCACGCCCGAGGCGGGGGGCCAGGGCGGACCCCGGGCCCCGTGGCGCACAGGACCCCCCAGGGGCTGGCCGTGTCGCCTCCCGGGCTCCGCCTGTCCGGTGCCAGCTCCCGCTCGCCGCAGCCTCGCGGTCCTCCCCTCCCGGGCCCCTCGGCTCCTTTCATCTTCCTAGACTCGGCTTGGGGTTTTGCTGGTTTCTGGGAGATAAAAACCGCCTCAAATAGCGGCGGCGCGCTGCCAGGACAAACAGGGCCGGGCGGACCATGTGCGCCTGGTTACCGGCCCGGGGCGCCCGGCGCAGGAGGGCGAGCGAGCTCAGGCCCGGGCCGTGCCTCCCGAACTGTGTGGGGGGCCTCTTAGAAGTCTCCGGCCGCAGCTCCAGCGCTGCCCGGGCTTTCCCGCTCGGGTCGTAGGAGGAGCAGCAGCGGGAACCTACGGCCAGAGGCTCCGGCCTTAGCGGGTGGGGGCCCCTGGGCCACAGTCGCTGCGTCGCCGGGGCCGTCGCGCCCCCTAGTGAAGTTAGCCGGGCAGCGTGCTAGGCCTGGACTTTGGCCTCCCCTGAACCCGCAAATTGTACAAACGATTCTAAAAAATGTTAAGTTAGCAGCGTGGAAGAGGAGGGCCGTGCTTGAGCGAGGCCGAGCCGGGACAGAATGGCACTGGAGCTTCATCCCAGGGCGCATTCAAGGTTGACTCAGACATGGAGCAGATAACATAACCTGAGGATGGAAAGGGGGTGGGGGGCGTCCTCAACCAACGGCGCTGGAAACTGCAGGCAGGGGTGATGATGTCTTCGGGTAGGGGTTGGGTGGTGATGCAGGTTCAAAGAAAAGCAGCCCGCGGTTTGTCTCAGCACTCCTCGGTCATCCGACAATTGTCCATTCCTGTTTTTCTTCAAGCCTGACCCATTGCCCTTCTCTCAGAGAACTTTCCCAGCCGGGCGCCCGTTAAGTGACTTCCCAGATGACAGAGAACTGGTTTGTCAAGGATTAGCCTGCCTAGTAGGAAAAGGTTAGAGTTTGGTCACTTAAAACAAGATGCAGGCATGTAATCCTAGCACGTCGGAGTTTAAGGTCGGCCTGGGCTACAAGGTGTGAAGTCACCTTGGGCTACATACTTAAAAAAAGAAAGAAAGAAAGAAAGAAAGAAAGAAAGAAAAATTAAAGGTCTGAGCAGAGTTACCCGAGGATTCTCTGGAACTATAATTCTGGGAACCTAGAATCTGCCTTTTTTTTTTTTTTTTTTTTAAATTCATGGGCTGGAGAAAGAGCACAGTGCTTAAGAGTTTCTTACTACTCTTGCAGAGGACTCGGGTTCGATTCCCAGCACCGATATGCAGGCTAACTATAACTCCAGTTTTAAGGGATCCTGCCCCCTCTTCTGCATGCAAGCAAAACATCCACACATATAAAAATAATAAAAGTAATGTTAATTTTTTTTTTGAGACATGCCTCTCTATGTAGCCTTAGTTAGGTGTCCTGAATATGTACATGAAGCTGACCTCAAAGTCACAGAAATCTGCCTGCCTTTGCCTCTGGAATGCTGGGATTAAGGATGTGCACTACCATGTCCAGCAAAGTTTTTTTTTTTTTGGTTTTTCGAGACAGGGTTTCTCTGTGTAGCTTTGCGCCTTTCCTGGAACTCACTCTGTAGACCAGGCTGGCCTCGAACTCACAGAGATCCGCCTGGCTCTGCCTCCCGAGTGCTGGGATTAAAGGCGTGCGCCACCACCGCCCGGCTCCAGCAAAGTTTTTAAAGATTCATGTATTTTTATTTTATGCATAGGAGCTGGCGTCACAGGTGGTTGTAAGCTGCCTGATGTGAGTTGTGGGAACAGAACTATGGTTCTCTGGAAGAGCACCGGTCGCTCTTAACCGCTGAGCCAGCTTCTCTTCAGCTCCACCATTAACCATTTTAATTAAACGTTAAAAGGAAAAAAAAACCTCAGGAGACTCCTACATTCCTTAACATTTGAGGAGTATAGGACTGGTGGTGGTACAGGACTCAGGACACGGAAGGCAGATCTCCGTGAGTTGAAGACAGCCACAGTGCGCTCCAGGCCAGCCAAGACTGCAGAGTGAGAGCCTGTCTCAATGAAATAAAGTAAAATAAAATAGAGGCAAACCAACTGCCTTTTCTCAGATGAAGCGTATTTGCAGGCACCTTTCGGATGGATGTCTTTGTCTTCTGACATGGGAACCTCTCCTTTTAGAATGGAGAGGCAGACACAGAGGCTGAGGACACAAGAAGAATTCCATAATTGCTCTTGTGTTCTTCAGTGAGACTGGGAGCTCTGGGGTGTGGGGCCTGAGCCCTGACATAGCTTTGAATCTATTTATATTTATTTATTAAAGATTTATTTATTATGTATAGTGTTCTGTCTGCATGTGTCCTTGCAGGCCAGAAGAGGGCGCCAGATTGAGCCACCACGTGGTTGCTGGGAATTGAACTCAGGAACTCTGGAAGAGCAGCTAGTAGCTCTTAACCTCTGAGCCATCTCTCCAGCCCGAATTTGTCTGTCTGTCTATCTATCTATCTATCTATCTATCTATCTATCTATCTATCTATCTACCTACCTACTTATTTATTATTTATTTTCGGTTTTTTGAGACAGGGTTTCTCTGTGTTGTTTTGGAGCCTGTCCTGGATCTTGTTCTGTAGACCAGGCTGGCCTCGAACTCACAGAGATCTACCTGGCTCTGCTTCCCAAGTGCTGGGATTAAAGGCATGTGCCACTACCGCCAGGCTCTTATTTATTTATTTTGAGATGGGGTCTTATGTATATGAGGCTAGCTTCTTAAGTTCACTGTGTACCAGCTTGACAATCAAGGTTAACTAATCACCAATGTCTTTAATTCTCAGCACTGAGGAGGCTGAGGCAGGAAGATCCCAGCAAATTAGATGTCAGCCTCAGCCTGTTGCGGAAAAAAACAAACAAAAATTAATTAAGTACTTAGTTGTCATACCTCCCATTCTTCTTTATATTCCAGGTTTAGTTTCATCCTGTAGATTTTTTATTTTGGTTTTGTTTTGTTTTGTTTTTCGAGACAGGGTTTCTCTGTAGCTTTGGAGCCTGTCCTGGACTAGCTCTGTAGATCCGTCTGCCTCTGCCTCCCGAGTGCTGGGATTACAGGTGTGCGCCACCGCCGCCAAGCCGTCCTGTAGATTTAAGACACGGTCTTTTGCAGCCAAGGCATAGTACGCTTATGACCCTGAATTCCTGATCTCCAGTCATTTTGTGTGTTTTGTGTTTGTTTGTTTTTTGAGATAGGGTCTCACTATGTAGCCCTGGCTGGCCTGCATCTTCCAATGTTAGACCAGGATGGCTTTGGATTCACAGTGACCCACCTACTTCTGCTTCCTGAGTTCTGCGATTAAAAGCATGTACCACTAGGCCAGGCTAACATGTTTTGTTTTACTTTTTAAAGAGTTATTTATGCTGAACAGTGGTGACACACACCTTTAATCCCAGCACTCGGGAGGCAGAGGCAGGCAGATGTCAGTGAGTTCGAGGCCAGCCTGGTGTACAAAGAGAGTTCCAGGACAGCCAGAGCAGTTACTCAGAGAAACCCTGTCTCACTTCCTCCTGCCCACCCCTCAAAAAAGTTATAAAATTTATTTGGGGGTAGACGATGTCTCAGTGGCTAGGAGCACTTACCATTCTTGCAGAGGACCTTGGTTCTGTTCCCAGCATCCACATGATGATACCTAACCATCTGTTTCTCCAGTTGCAGGGAGTCCAATGTCTTCTGCTGTTCTCTGTGGGCACTGCATGTATGTGGTGCAAATATATACATACAGGCAAAGCAGAAACACACATTAAAAAAAAACTTAAGCCCCCTCTTAATTTTTTTTAAAAAAGTATTTATTTATGACATGGTTGTTTTTATGTGGTCCTGGAGATCAGACCCAGGGCTTTGTGCATGCCAAGCAAGCAGTCTACTGACTGACTAAGTTACATCCCCAGCTCATCATCTTTGAATTTATTAAGAGTATTTAGCATTTAGGGGTTGAGAGTGTACCTTGAGTGGTAGATTTTTTTTTTTTT